CTCAATGGCCACACATGGCCCACAAGCTACTATAGGTCTCCTAGAGAACCCAGTCCTCCAACCTCTCTGAATTTAATACAAAACTCTATTCTACTGCCTATTCAGCACAGTTTACCACACTGCATTCTAATTAGCAATGTAAGTGAACTTGTGGAACAGTTACTCATTTAGAATGCCTTAAAAGACAACAAAATTAAGACTGCAAATCTTCCTATACTTAACTAAGCATACTTCCAAGTAGATACAGGAATAGAATGTATAATGACTTTATATGTGATGCATCCTGGATTAGAAACTGTAACAGCAGGAAGAATAAATGAAAATATGTTAAGTCATAAAATGGAATAGTTTTCACAATCTGGTACCTTTCAGCTGTGCTGGATCTACAAACCCCCGAATTCCCAGTCAGCATGGCTAAAAGAAGATGCCAAGTTCAGGAAAGTAATTACAAGATAATAAACCTCACTAGCTATGAGTACTGGCAAGTTAATTTTGCCCTTCAGAGAAAGAATATTGGGAGTAAAGAAGATTCCTCTAGTCTTATGGACTATATTCATACTACTAGTGTTGGGGTGAGGTTTGCTGTTTTGCCCAGTTTGGGGCCACAACTTTATTTGGTGATGTTGTGATAACTTTTAGCTGTGATAATGGTAGAAATTCAGGTAAGCTGCACAATGCAACAACCCTTTTAAGTAGAGTTTGCTACTTACCAAAGCCTACAGATATGGGGGAAACAGTATGGGTGTGGGATATTTAAAATCATCCATCAATATCTAAGGCTTACTATAACATATACTGATCCGCATCTTCTGTTCTGGTCAATATTTTGAAAGAGGCAAAATAGTCATATAATAGACATACTATTCTCAACTAATTCAGGATAAATAATACTAATTTATTAGGGTTATATGGCCACCAAATTAGAGAGGCCCAAGAGTGTTAAAGTCTACAAAACTAAGAAATCTCATATGAAGGTGCACCATTGAAGAACGTAGCAGTAGGAAGAGCAGCTTCTTATATTGCTTCAGTTTTAATAAGTTTAATTAGAGATACACACATAATATATGCAACATTATAACGAGCAATTGGGTTTTTCTGACAGATGATGATTCAATCAGCACAATCTCAGAGGATACACCTGGATTTTCAGTGTATAAACAGGTACCTGGGACAGGTAAGTGATTTGTTCTTTGCTTCTGATCAACAGAAGGAGAAGAAGAAAAATATTTCTTTATGAATTGTGGCTCTAGTTGGGGTTGCCCTCCTTCTGAAGGAGGTTTAGTACTTGATGGTCCTCTGAGACACACAGCTCCTGCTTGAACACCAAATGGAAGCCATGGCTAGGAGGCCTTTGCTTAGCTCATGGTAATAGTGACTTGTGCCCTCATTACTGTGCATCCTGACTAATGTAACCTGTTCTACATGGGGTTGCCTTTTGAAGATGACTTGGAAACTACACTTCATGCAAAATGCAGTGGCCACAAAGTAAGAGGTCGACAGGCACTATTGTAATGTAACTCCAATTCTCCAATCGCTGCAATGACTATAAGTTTCCAATCCCATCCAAAGTGCTAGCTATCACCTATGAAGCCTGTATAGCTAGGTCCCAGGTAGCCTTAGGGATCATCTCAAGGGACACAGGCAAAGAGGCAATCCTTCTCTGTAGCAGTCCCCCTGTTTTGGAAGACCTTGCCTCCAGATATGTCCAAGGCATGCTCCTTATTGGCTTTCGAAAGAGCCATCAAACCTGTTTCAACAGGCCTTTGATGAATGATGATTTATTCCTCTTACATTCCAAATTTCAATTTTTTCTTAGATCACATTAGATATGACCAGAGATGACTTTTCCCACCCACCACAGCTTTGGTCAGTTGAGGCTTTTTAGTAAGAGAGAGAAGTAGACTGGGTTAGTGGCCTTAGTCATACCAGTGCCACATATAGCACTTTCTGCTAACTGTAATGACAGTGCCAGTCACTTTTGGCACATTTTGTTTATTTTATTTATATATTTATAAAAATCACAAACTGTTTCAACTGAAGAGTATACAAAAAGAGCATCAATAATACAATACCAATGCAAAGACCATAACAATACAATAAACATTATCCATGAACATCAAATTGTCTGTTAGCAACAACAACAACAAAAACATAATCAGTCTCCCAAGGCTTCAAAAAAGCCAAGCTTTAATCAGCTTTCAGAAGACCATGCACGCCACAAATACAACCAAATGTGAGCCCAAGCACATCAATGCTATCTTGTGCAAGGCACAATCTTTAATTTAGATACTGTTTCTCACATCGTATCAAATAGGAGGCATATGTAGTGTGCTGACCTACAGTCAGGACACAATGATACATTGATATTGCTTGAAATGCTTCCAAATCTGTTATCACAATATTCCTAAATGAAAATATATCCATTCTGAGTTATCAAATCTTTTAGCTAACTGCTTTCTGACATCCTAAACATACTTATCAGAAAACAACCCTATTTTTGTACAAGAACGTACCTCTGAGTCAATATGCATGGGACTGTATTGTCAGAGCCTGATAACCAAGCTTTAACCTAACTTTAATTCCTTAGATCTTGTTCTGCTTTCCAAACCAAACTACAACACAGAACAAAGCAAGTTTACAGAATAACAGAAGTATAGATTTGGATTGACTTTAGATGTCATCTAATCCAACACTCTGCTCAGTGCAGGATCTTCTAGATCATCTCTGACCATCCAGCCTCTGTTTGAAGACCTCAGCTGAAGGAAAACTCAGCACTTCCTGTTCTACCAGCTGAGAGCTTATAAAGTCAAGAAATTCCTCCTGATGACTAACCTGAACCTCCTTCCTTGTAGCTGAAATTAGTACTCTTGGCTCCAAGGTGCACCCTCTATCCTAACTAGTTTCTTCCAGTTTCTCCCATGTTGCCTTCAGATGTGTGGAGTTCAGCTCTCAAAATTCTCAGTAATGGCCATACTAGAATTTAAGTGTACACATCTGGAGAGCGTCCCTGATAGGAAAAAAATGTCTTATGTAAATCAGTTCTTTGGAATTAAAGTAATTGCTTCCCTTCAAATTATGAAGTCCTGAGCCTGTGGATAAACAGGGCACTTAACTCATAGATTCCCTCTCTCCATCTTACACATGGATCACCCAAGTTAGCAGGCTACCACTAAATACTCTAATACTGTATAGGAACAGGCTGTTTAAAACTATTTTTTCATAGCTAATACTAAGACTTTCTAATAGAAAGGGTGTCAGAGAATGTGGACATAGCACCTGCCTGCAACATCTTTTCCCAAGATTGTGTAATAGTTTTAAAAAGTTGCAGCTAAGTGCTACATACATACTCCAAAGTACGTTTTGGAGACTGCATCTGAGGTGGTACGCAGTCCTAATTTCTTTACATAATATTCCATTTTTTGTTCAGACCTTTTCCTATTGAAACAACCACTGAATCTTTTATCTTTCTAATATCTTTAGGGAGGAAATGCAATAATCTGCTTTTATTTCATGAAATATCTTTGTTTCAGTTAATTCTTTAATTCTGTATCTTCAGACAATCAGATGACCTTGGATGAAGCCCAGAATCACTTTAGAGTTATTACAGTTAATGACACAGGAGCAGGAAAGCATTGGTGTGACAATGAAGTTAGAGCTCTGATAAATATATGGTCAGATGAGGAAATACAAAAAATGCTTGAAGGAGCAACAAGAAATAAAGAAATATTTGAGGAGATTGCCAGAAGGCTAATGAAAGTTGGAATAGACAGAGACTGGAAACAGTGTCGTACAAAATACAAGAACTTAAAATATGAGTATCGAGCGGTACAGAAAGAAAACAATCAGCTTGGCAGTGCAAGTAGGAAGATGAGATTTTACGAAGAAATTGACTGCATTTTGAGGAACCAGCCCTCAGGTATGTTTACATGCAGGCATAGGAGAACTAATTTGATATTAGATATTAAGAACATCACAAACAAAAGCAGGGATAGCTTAAATATTAAACTAAATGCTTATCAAAGCTAATGTCATGTCAGGATGGTGGCAAGTTGCTTCTAAGCCTTGAAGTTCAGAGTTAATAAGTCTCATCTCAACAGAAAATCACAGGATGCGTGTTGCACATGAAACAAGCAACTTATTTATGTTTTAGTAATTAAGAGTGGGTCACAAGATTATACGCCCTCTCTCCCCACCTCCTTCTGCTGAGCATGACTCTCCACCGGCCCCCGCCCTTGTCTTTACACAGACCTCTATAGCAACATGCCTGATAAACTCCTAACTCCAATTAACTTGATTGCTGGTGCTGCAGTTGAAAATTAAGATTGGATTTGATGTTATAAATAAGCCTACAAAAGGTCCTGGCTGGCAGATTCATTTTTGTTCTTGTCATTAGGCAGTTAAAAGGCACACACCATCCATTCCTATGTAAGAGAGGCCCACCTTGTGATCACTATGGAAGGCAGGATTAGCTTTTGTTTCTCTTTCTGCAGTGGAAAGAAAGAAGTCTACTTGTAGCCAGCAGGGACACTATTGGGTTAGAAGGGATGAAGAGATCTATTCTATTCTTGTTAATTATTTGTTGCCTATGGCTCCCTAAAAATTGTGAAATATAGGAGTGAGAGTTAATCATCATTTATTCAAATTTCACAGATTAAGCAGTATTTTTTACTTACCCCTACAACTCTAACTGTACTCAACTATTTGTAGCATTCTGGCAAATCACAGTTTAATTATCAGAAACTTACTGGGTAGTATTATTATTATTAGTAGTAGTAGTATTTCATCCCAAATCAGTCTACTATGGATAAAGATCTCTTCATTGAAGGTTATGGACCATAATCTATCACCCAGGTCCAGTGCAGGTTGACAGATACTTTTTAATTTCTCAGTTTAGGGCTAGTAGAAGCCCCAAAGTCACCCAGCTGGGTTCTATGACTAAGGGAGGACTAGAACTTTGGTCCCCCCACTCCTAGTCCAGCACATGACCACTACCTCACATCGGCTTTCATATTGATACAGATATATAGACATACACAGATAAAAAGAATAAGATGTCAAAATTTCATGAGATTTCAGCATTCTTAACTGAAGTATAAGAATATTGACATCTCATTGATCTTTATTTAAATTCGGGATTTAAACATCCTCCCCGTGCCACTTTTTTCATGGGCCCTGTCTAGAATTGCCATGGATTGCACATTGCCACTTTTTTTGAGGGGAGCAGTATGCCCTTCCCATGCTCTCTATGCATTGTAAGAACATGGATTTTTTTTTTATGCCAAATGGCAAACAGACTCCATGTACACTTCAGCAAATTATCCTCATTTTCAAATACTCAGAGAAGCTGCTTAGAGAAGCCCATGGCTGTTAAAAATGTGCAGAAAAATCACAGTCTGAGAGGTTAAAAGATCAGAGTATTTGTTCACCACTGGAATTGTCTTCAGTTGGCTAAGAGTAGGGCTAACATTAATGAGTGAATTATTTTTGAGGGCCTTATTAGCAGGAGCACTGAATCAACTGAAAAGGTATCCAGCTCCCAATAGAAGAGAATATGTGTAGTTCAGGGTTGAGCTGTGGAGTCCGTGGTGCTCTCTGAGCTTGGTTGTTTGCTTGCAGATGTTTCATTACCCAACTAGGTAACATCATCAGTGCAAATGAGTGTGGGGTTTGCTCCCTGTGTATATACAGTAGCTTATATAAGCTTAAGGTATCCAGCTTATATTTGCATAGGCTTTCACTGAAAGATACAATTTGACCAGCAGTACCTAAACTTTTGCAGGCAGCTCTGTATCTATATTGATGACTCAAGCAGTTTTCTTTGATGTATGGATCATTTCCCTGAAGAAATTTCTGCAAAACTTAGAGAAATGTAAAACAAAAGACTTGCTGTGTTCCTGCTTATATTAGTCCCAGAAGTGTGAACTATGTCAGTTAAATTAATCTATCAGCCAATTTATCACTCTTGCACCCCAAATCTTAATTTGCCACTGAATATTTACTGTCTTTTTAAAGAGATGTTTACAGAAGTTATTACAGACACAATACCACTGAGGGTCAAGAGGAAAGCCTCTGAAGAAGGTAACAATTTTTCACTGTATCATTGAGTAGATGTATAAGAGATATACGATAATAACAAGCTGCTGAGGCAGTCCATTTATGTTGGGTGCTTTGTGTTCATGGAAACTGAAAAGAATCTCTGCCTTCTGTGTGTAAATGTTTCAGCGAAAGCCACTGTGTACAGATAAGCTATCCAGTGTGTGTTTTAATATACGAGGCTGTCGTTTGATTACTTGCTCAAGTGCAGAAAATAGAAAGTAAATCTTCCATTACTTATCTTCAGAGATTATGGAGACGCAATGCCTTGCTCCGTGCAATTATATCTGGATGGAACTATGAGCATAAATAAGCATTCTTTCAGGAACCAATCCTGGTTCACCTGTAGGGATCTGACTGAGTACCATTACAGGCAAAAAAAAAAAAAAAGGCAGAGACAATAGAAAGCTACCCAAGGATACCAATATCTTCTTGGGAATTCCACTGGCATGTGCCAGGCACCTTGTGTTACCTGTTTGTTTTTTAAATGGACATTTTAATGAAAAAATAATAAATTGGAAGCTGGCATCACGCAGCCTTTAGCATAGCCTGTATGTTTAAAAAATGCCTCTGAGCCCCACAGATATTCTGCCATCCAGTGCACTTTGGAAAGATGTCTTCCTATCCAGAAAAAAGGCAAATATATAATCTACAAGGAGCAACTTTAGCAATTTGCCTTCTCCTGACTGATGCTTTCAGATGGCCATGCTCCCCATGACAGCCACAACACGTTCCCAAAATTTTGAATGTGTCCCAGTCTAAAAAGCTTGTTTGCAGAGATGTAAAAGTATCTTTAGAGCAAAAATCCAAAAAGCGGATGAATCCCCCAAGCAAGCCAATGAGGTCTGTATGTGCTGATATATATCTAGGTTAGAATAAACCAGAGTGTGTTTATTTCTTGACAAAGCTAAATACATAATCTCTGAAACTGCTTTTTTCATACAGAACCCTCACCTATTCAATTTAAGAAGAGCACTTCAGAGAATACAACAATGCAATCACAAAGATGTGTCTCGGAGGGCTTGCAGTCTGTTATCAAAAACCGAACAACACTTTTAGAGAGATTTTACAAACAGGAAGAAATGCAGGATGTCAGAGGAAAACCACTGGACACTGTCCTTCCCCCCACGCAACAGGTTTGTTTAATATTTTTATTTTATTAAGGTTGTTGTGCAAAGAGTAAAACAACAGTGAAAGGATTTCTGAAATGTCCAACAGAATAGAGTTAAGTTTAATTTTCAGTTGTTGCCACTGTCTTATTTTAGTAACTCAAGCACCTGCTATCAAACAAACAATAGAATGTTCCCCAAGGTAATAAATTTGAGGTGCAATCTTATATATATTTACTGGGTGATAAGACCCATTGAATCAATGAGGCTTATATGTTCTGAGCAGATAGAGATATAATTAGTCAAAGAAATGATGTATAAAAATGCAGAAATCTTGATTCCTCACTTAATTCTTCCAGAGATATAACTGTTTTAGTCTGTTGCTGAAAAGAAACTAGCAAATAATCCAGTCATAGGTCCGCATGAATCAGAAACCATAAAACATGATAAAAGAGGATGCTATGGTAGCTCAACCATTATTTTAAAACTTTTATAGGACTTGATTATGTAAGCTATCTTTCACTGGACATAAATTCTACTGAAAACTGACAGACTTTATTTTCAGATCTGAAACTCTGTATTTTCCCTTCCATTTTGCAGAAAGTTTTGATTTTAAAAGTTGTTTTCTAACTACTTAACTATTTAATTAGATTTTTATTTGTTTGAAATGCTTTTTAAAAATGGATTTTTGACACCCCCCCAAATTCTGTGCTTTAGTGTTGTAACTATTATTAGTTACAAAACATACTACTTTTTAAAAACTATGGGTATAGTAAGGATTAGAGACATTTATCCAAGCAATTGAAGAACTGAATGGACAGTGATTCCATTGCTCATTCTTTTCTCTTCAAATAAATTGTTTACTTAAAACAGGGGTGCCAAAATTGTACCATGGAGCATCCCTTCAGAAACTTAAAGCACTTGTTTTACCTGTTAACCTAATTGCATACCCCGTTTTTTGAGATCGTGGGCTAGCTGAGCTCAGTTTTCTTCATGCAAATGTTTCATGACCAAACTAGATAACATCATCAGTTTATCGTGTTTGGTAATGGAATGTTTGCCAGAAGAAAACCAACCTCAGCAAACACAAGATCCCAACATTTCAGCTCTGAGCTGTGCGTATTCTCTACTACTGACACCCAATTTAAAAGAGGAAGGATTGCGGCACTAAGTTCGTTAAGGGAAAGCATAATGTTGCCCATCCAATTTTACTTTAGGTTTCCTTCTCAAACTAGAATACAGTGATTGAGGCACATTACACTTTATGTGAATATGTTGTTGAGAGAGGTATAAAAATGAGCAAGAAGAAAACGCCTTAAAAGAGGAGAACATGAGAAGATGGCAGGAACATTCTTTTCTGTGTACTCTGTTTAATGTTAACCTTCTTCTACTGCACAGCTGAACTGATAAGGGTTACTTAATAATGACATGTATGCCAATTTGCCCCTTAGTCTGTTGCATTTATAGATGCAACTTCTGGTTAATTTGTGGGCACAGCTTCATGACTGTTATTCAGCTAATAGAGACTCTGATCCCCATCACAGCCTTTTCATTCATTGCTTACCTAGAAGGTAGGTAGGTAGGTAGATGATAGATAGATCAAGTTTATATACTAACTACCACATCCTTAGTCTTTATTTGGTATGACAAAGAAACAAAGCAACCAATCCACTTTGCATTCCAAGGAAAACCAAGTACTGATTTTGAAATAATGCTGATCCCAGTAGAAAGAAAATTAGGCATGCCAAAATCTTGCAGAAATCTATTGTCCCAACAGGTCCTTTAACACAATAGACTTCTCTTGGTCACAATTCTCAGGGCTACAGTAGTCTCAATAAGCTAAACAAATGCAAATCAGGCTTGTAAGTTAGCTTCCATTTCAACTCACTCACAGGCAATGTTCAGATAGAATTTGTTAAATGTTAATGTTGCCATTTTTTCTTGTAGAAATATAATCAAACCATAATGGTTCATGATTTTTTTCTGAACAGCATGGGGGAAAAAAACTCTAAGTAACATTAGGTGAGAGCAGATGAGAAAACTGATTTTTCAGAAAGACTAGATACATTTTGTAAAAACATGAGAAATCTTTTGAGAAGAGATTACATTGTTGTTTTTCAACAATGTCAAGAAAGTGAATCAGTCAAGGCATAGCACTAAGCCCCCACTTAAAAATTATAAACGCTTCCCTTTCTTTCTGCAAAATTTTATGTCCTGTTCCAAAGAAATCTTAATCATGCAGATTAACTGCCAAATTGTTCTGATTGGGAAAACGTAGAATACATTCAGAAACTCCCACAATCTGTGACCATCCTATTCTTGCCAAAATATTTCTCAAAATGAAGTATCTTCTAGAAAAAGATTAACAAGCCCAAAACTTGTTCCAAAATGCATGTTACAGAACAGTTTGGGTCAAGGACTTGCATGACGTTTTTTTCATATATTGATTAACACAGAGCAATTGCCTGGAACAAGATATTAATATGGGCTTACGCTTTCTTTATTGAGAATTCTAGTTTTATAACTCTCCAACTGCCTGTCATATTTCCAGATAACAAAATGTTTTTCATGCTTTCATATTTAGTGTGCTGTCCAAGTATCTTAAACCTAGCCTTGATAACTCCTGAAGAACAAAGGACTTAAAAAAAAAAAAAGGGAAGACAAGTATAAAAATTACCATAAGTTTTAATCTCTTTTAAGGTTTAACATGTTATATTATCAGGAGTAAACTAACTAAGTGAGATGTATCCTTGAATAGATAAGTATCAGATTGCACTGTAAATGTTTTTGATCGCATGATATATACTCCTAAAGTCTTGGAGCAATGACCCATGATGACCTTGCCTGTTTGTTATAGATGGATCTCTGCAAGTGTATGCAAGAAACATGACTTTCATAAATTGTCATATCAGTTAGGCTACTGCACATTCTCCAAAATACCTTGCCGTATGTCATGATACACTTGGATGGAATAGAGTGCAACTCATTATGCCTTAAGCAAATTTAGTAGGCCTTTTTCCTAGAATGGCCACCATTTTCTCACAAAGAGCTGCTGGTTTCTATTACCGCACTCCAATTCCTATCAGCTCTAGCCAGCCTTTGGAGACGGATGAAGTAAAATGCTGGCCAAACTTTAGAGTGCAGGGCATACATTTCTCACTTCCGAGAAAGGCAGTTGAGAGCCATAACATGCTAATGAGAGTAGAAAATATTTTGTAGGTGAGCATTTTTGTTTTGTTTTGGCAGATGGTTCGCTTTAATACCCAAATCAAACAACCCTTAAAAAGGCATTGCATCAACACATTCTATAAATGGTGACTCCAATGCTAAGTTGTGTTCTAAAACACAGACACGATATTTTGGGAGGTTTCCCTGAACCCTCATATTAGATAAGTCTACTAAATAACCTTAGCTTTTAGACCGCATGATGGGACACATTTGTCTCTTAGAAACAAAAACAAGAAAAAAGCAGCCCAACATGCTGCTTTCAACCATGTTTCTTACTTACTTAAGTTTTGCGGAAAGAGTTTTAAGTCTATCTAATTTCAGTAAACACCAGAAAACCTGTACCCAAGTTATATTTTGTGTGTCGTGACATTCTACAAAATATACACTAAGGTACAAAACAAAAATCACTTAAGAGTAGTTTGAGGTATCCTCCAGAGTGGTCCTAATATGTAATAGTGTTTTAGAAGAAGAAAAATTCCTGTAAAAGGAATCTCATTATTGTTAATCCAGCCTATAAAAGTCAGAATTTTTTTTAAAAAAAGAGTTTAAATGTAGTTTTCAAGAAATTAGTCTCATGGCTTAGATTTTAAATATATTTAGGATATACTTGACATAGCAGAGCACACATTTCATTTGTTTAGCATCATTCGCATTGGTGTGAGATTTTGAGGGTAAAGCAACATATAACTAGGAGCCATTTTAAGTTATCTGAAAAGTACACTTCAGATAGAAAAATCCATACTATGTACACAGAAGAGAATTATTTTATATATCTATGCAAAATATCCCTAAACATTTGGATGCAATTGAGTCATGTGAAATATTCCAATTCCTGCTAATGGGCACAGGAAAAAAAATGCCTCAGAACTATTGTTAACTAACTAGCATTATTATGCCATCTTTTACATATAATTCATGACAGTGCATTATCAGGGCTTAGAAACACTAACATAGGCTCAGCTTGTGCCTTTGCTTTTTGCCATAGTTTCATACAGGTAGACCTCACTTAACTATGGTAATTGAAACTGGAATTTCTGTCACTAAGAGATGCAGTTGTAAAACACGTCATGTGACTGTGTTGCTTAGCTATGGCAGTTCCAGCAGTCCCTGATTACTGCCATTAAGTGAATCATGGCAGGTTGTTAAGCGAAGACCTCACGTGATCGTGACTTACGACTTTCTGCCAGCTTCCCCACTGACTTTGCTTATGGGAAGCCATCAGAAAAGGTTACAAATCACAATCACGTGACTGCGGGGGTGCTGCAACAGCCAGAACTTTGAGGACTGGTCATAAGTACCACTCATTCAGTGCCATCGTAAGTTTGAACGGTTGCTGAATGAGTGGTTATTAACTGAGGACCACCTGTACTGCCTCCATCAGCGTTTACCAGTTGTGTGTGCTCCATGTGCTGGGACAAAAACTTGTGCCAGCTGAAAAGGTTTTGCATAAATCTTTAATATGGACTTACCAACCAAGTTTCATTGATATGTTACATTCTGGCCTATTTTCCCAATTTCTTAACGCACCTGAAACTCATATTCTCCAGACTGATTGGAAAATACATTGCTGGAAAGGCCTACAAGAAGTGAAACTGCTGAGAATCTATGCAGTTATATGTTCAAACTGGGTCATTAGGCTGGTTTCAAGAAGAGTGATGGGAAAAAAGCCAGAATCATTGTTAAAATTAACTTGTTTTCCTAAACTATAGCTAAATACTAGCTACTATTAATTCAGATCTGTATATAATAAGTCTTTATAGTTAGTTGAAAATGGAAAGTTGGGAACAGGAAGTCACTTCCTGTGCTGCCTGTGCATGCGTAGAGCTAACAGTCAAGCTATATGTTAACCCACCATATATGTAACGTATGTAACATATGTAAGAATAGCTACTCTGTATCAATCTGGCAAGTTGATACTATAAACTGATAGCACCAAAGCAGCAGCCGAACTTAAAACTAGGTACAGAGATAGGCCTGTCACTAAGGTGATACAACCTACCTTGAGTCACAGAGAGTTGCAGTTTTGGGGGTATGATGTAAGAGTAGATGTTTTGTTACTGCAGTGCTATATTTTTGTTACCAAGAATGTGACTGTTCTGTCTTGAATCATCTCTGCCTATGCAGTCTAGGGAGTCCTTAAAAAGTAAATCCTAGAGACATGTGCAACGTGGCCCTTTGAATCTTTATTCGGGAACCCATTTAAGCATGGCTACTTCCCACGAAATGTGAATAGGATTGTAGCATCCAGCCACCCAACTTCTGAAGGATGGGCACAATCTTAGAGAAAGTACATCCTTAGAGCACTCCCTGTTAAAAGGGTTGAGAATTATGGTTGCTACTTGGCTCACAAACAGCCCCCATCCACTAAGTGAGTAGGAAGGAGTACCTGTTCCTTCAGCAAATTGATCCAAGATGAATTTGGAGATTTATGATCCCATGAAGGAACGCATATACCAAAGTTTTAGCAGGCAAGAGAAACAAGGGTGAAGAAAAGAGACCAGCTTGGTGCTCTCTGAACATGCTGGATTAAAACAGTCAACATCCCTAGCCAGCAGGTTCAACCAATTTGAAAGATGCCAGGTTGGAGAAAGCTGATATAAAGATAAAGCACAGATATAAAGTAGATAAGGTGAGCACTTGTTTGCAAATAAGGAACTTTCTACATGTAGGATTGGCAAGAAGAGGCTGAGATTGTATCTCGTTGGATGCTTCTCTCCAGAGTAGGCAGAACAAACATATTGCAGCAAGAAAGGATTATGGGCAGAGTCTGCAATGGGTGGATATGTTGCAAAACAAACCCCATATGGCGGTTTTATCCAAATTTTGTATTTACACTTTTCTATAGCTAAAAGCAAGAGTAACGCAGCTTACCAAAACTGATTTGGGTCCAAGAATGTCAGAGTACATGCTAACTGTCAGAACTCACAGCCAAGCAAGTGGATCCAAAGAGGACCAGAGGTTATTAGACCACCTAATTCAGGCATGAGATACAGATTTTCAGCAAGTTTGAGGCTGTCAGATGGTTACAGAAGCACCTTAAACTTTGATCAGGGTGAGCTTTGGCCATCCTAAAAGTTTGAGGGAGTATTGGGATCTGTTGCATAGCCAGAGTTGCACTTTAATCTTCCCCACAACAGCATGTCATCTTTCTTGGAGTCAGGGACAGAACTGCAGCAGCAAAACAGGAAGACCTCAGGGTGCAAGCCTGCACAAATTTACTTGGGAGCAAGGATCTTATTACATCCCACAGAGTGCATATGCATACACGGAGGCGGCTACATCCTAAGCACGTGCCCTGGGGATCAGGAGAGCAGACCCCACCGAACCAGCGCTGCCTTAACGCTTAATCCCACCGCATTCCTCCCACTGTTCCTCCTCTTCACGCTTATTCCGGGTCCCCAAGGCTGAGATCAGGCCTTCCTGTCAGCCGCCCTCCCCCGGCCACCGTCGCCCCATTCCTACCTGTGCTGCAACCCCACCAGTCCCAGCGTGATCACATGGGGCACATCGAGCTCCGTGGGCCATAAACCGGAGGCGATGCAGCCGAAGACGCCGCATTCTTCCCGGATCCCTAGCTCCTCGAATTCCATGGTGCCCGAGCGAACACGTGTGTGGATGCTCCCGTAGCCTCTCCTGTTGCTGTCGCTCCAGCCGCCGCCTGAGTTTGTGGGGAAGGAGGAGGAGGAGGAGGAGGAGGAGGAGGCGGGCTGACCGCAGCAGCGCAAGTTCCCTGCTCCCACCCCTCGCCTTATTTACATACATACACTCTCACATGGGGAGGGGGCGGTCGGGTTGCTTTCCGGGTAAATGAAGCGCCGCCTGCGGGGAGTCGCGCGCCCGGGTCTTCTGCGGGCGAGGGGGAGGAAAGGGACGGGGCGCTCTTTGTGGATCGTTTTCTTTCCAGCGCTTCATCGAAACTAAGTTTCGCGGTGGAACTTTTCTCCGGTCATCATCTCGCCCTGCCACCCCTCTCACCTGCGTATTAAATTTGGTATATTTTACTTTTCGCGCTTTGGGGGCGGGGCGGGAGGAGTTCTGGTAGAGGTTGGCCGGGGCTTCGCTTTTTACGCAAGGAAGGCACTCGGTGAAGCGGGGCGAGGGTGGGTCCGCGGGTGAACTTTGGCGCGAAATAGCCCTGGGATGGGGGCGGAGGGGGTGGGAGTCCTGGAAAAGGGCGCGCGCGGAGGGAAGGGCTGAACTTCGCTCGCGCGTTATTGTTGCGGCGGCTGCCCAGAGGCGGGGAAGGCGGAGGGGCGTAGGTGGAAG